AGCTTTAGACTAGAACAGACGTAGCTACGTTAATCCTACCGTAAAATAATAAGACAAGGCACGACCTCTCTCGTGCTCCCAGAGTGCTCTCTAATGCACACAAAGTTTGCAGACTATCAAGGATCAAACCTCTACCAATCTACAACTAATTACAAAACTCTAAGCATATATAAGTAGACATTTCTAAGCATAAATGACAATCAATAATACAAAACCTAACAATTTGCAATGAAGATTGTCAGAGCTTCACTGTGCAAAACTAAAGAAAAAGTTTATTTAATCCAACAAATCACAGATAAAATCTTTCAAATTGCATAGCTTGCTGTGCTGTTAAGCATGCTCTTGATCTTCCCAGAGTTTGTGATAAACTTTTGGAAATTGAAATTCTTGTATTTTAGCTGTGTGTTACTTGTTAATAATTAACACAAATCTTTTTCCATTGTGTTGCACCATGCACCTTACTACCAAATTTACTAGTCTTGAACGATAACATAGCTCTCAATACTCTGGTCCACACCAGGGTCATATTGTGAATTCATCATTTCTACATTTTTTCTGTAAACTGGGGATATGTGTTAGTCATCCAGTACTGTACAAGAATCTTCAGTCACCTTAAATTTCTTTATATTTTGCAACGAGACTTTAGTTCTCCAAGCTTTCTGAAGTTCTTTCAAAGTATTTATTTGGACATTTGCTGCTTTTTCATTTGTTATCAGGTCAGTCTTTGTACCTAGGACAATTTCCAGAGGAATGTTTTATTTGTTAAATACTGGCCCATGAGTCTTTTAATCACTAAAAAAGACACCTGACTTAAGGGATAAACCATTGTTGTGTCTGCACATAACAGATAATTTAGCAACAACCACCTGCAAAACACAATTTGGTCCCATTAACTTAACTGAATCTAAAAACTATTAGCCAAAACATACATATATCTGGACATTTGGTTGTGTGTCCTTAAAAATTTTGAGGAAACTGGACCCAAAAAAGTCTAACTTTTAACTTTTAACTCCTACATCAATAGACCCTGATATCTGAACACACAGAGCCTGCAATGATGTATGACTCATGCAACAGAGAAGCAGATAGCAAATTCACCTGTTCTAATTGCAGGACTCTCTAAATCATCAGTAGGATTATTTCATCTTATTCAAAATGCAGCATTCCGAGGTATGGGGAAATTTTTTTACCAAATTACCCCTGTATTGAAGGCATTTCATTGTCTCCAGGTACAATATAGAATAGAATAGTCTTATTGAAATGCTACCTTATCATGGTTGAGGGGTTTGTGTGTCCCAGGGGTTGCTGGGGCTGTGTTGTGGGGGGGACTTTTGCTGCTTGGTAGGATCTCCCATGGGAAATTAGTCCTGGGTGAGGGACCAGACAAAGAGCGATTCAGAAAACCCCTATAAGTAAAAGGGCGAGGGACCAGCTCACCCCTAGGGTTAACAGGGCCTCACTCTGGAGCCAGGCCTGCATAACGTGCCCAAGAGGGAGCATCTGGTAATTGGGCCTTAGGCCATGGGCCTGCCGGGCACAATCCAAAAAAGGGACATGGGCCCACCCTCATGTCTGCCCACCACCCATAGGAGGCGCTGTAGGAGTCTGGTGCATTGTGTGTCAGGCAGTGGCCACCAGGAGGCCCTGGTGGACTGATCCCTAGCTACCGAGACAAGTAACTGGGACACTGAATGTCACTTTTCTGTTGGGGAAGGAGCCTGAGTTAGTGCGTGAGGTTGAGAGGTACCAGCTAGATATAGCTGAGCTCAGCTCAACGCATGTCAACGGGCTGGGGTGTATCTCTTAGCATGCCCTTGGCTTGCTGTCTGTACGTGGGGTTTTTTTGGTGGACAAGAGCATTTTCTCCCTGTGGAGAATGGGTTCTGACTGCCGTCTACACTTATGTGCCAAAC